GGACTAATCTACTTCACAATATTCCTTATGGGAACAAATTCGGTCAGTACTGGCACCTGAACATACCTCTGGAATGAAAAAATATCGTTAACCGGCGGTCCACTGTAATTTGTTTACTGTAATTTTTACCACAGAATATATCATTGCTTAGTTAATCTTAAGTTAATTTTAAGCCTGCCCATAAGGCTCTGCATACAAGGGCTTTTGGTATGTACACCCAAACACTAAAACAGTGGACTCGGTTCGCGATATTTAAACCGTTCCTGAGAGCTCATTGTAAACCAAAATTATTGGAAAGCGAATCAATTTTCCCCATAAGAAATAATGGAAATCAAAAATTTAAACCGTGCAAAACACCCAAAAATATGAAAAAAAAAACTTTACCCTTTAAATATTAAGTTTAATGCAATAGAATAATTACAATAACAAAAATAACAATAGAATAATTGACACTTAGCTTAATGAGATCTGGTGATGATTGATGGGATGGGAGGAGGGGGAGTGTTGAACCTATTGTTTAGAAGGGGAATCCCTCCCTTAGGACTTGAGGTTAGCAAGTCCTTTTCCAGGGTTACTTCCCCTTTTTTTAATGCCATAGGACCAGCTTGAGAGTCATGGACTTCCGTTTGCACAACATATCTGTCCATAGAGCTCTTTTACCTCCCGTTCCTTTAAGATTTTAAAATGGGCCACAACATTGTCATTGTAAAAGTCACCAGCACGGCTTGCAGTAGCGTGTTAGGGTGATTTTTCCATTTAAGGTTTGCAGTTCAACCCACTTTGCACACATTTCCTTATCGTTGAAGTAGGACAATGGATCCACAAATGGCATAGGCTTCTCAGGGTTAGCCCAAAACCCCTTTAAAATTCTTTCTTAATTTCCATACTAATTCTCACCCTTTTACCACAGGGTTGGCACTAGAAGCTTTCTTGGGGCCCATGGTGACTTATTTTGCAGAAACAAGCACCAAAAACAGTGATAATATGGATAATATGGAATGTACCAAATGTATCCTTAGATGCGCGCACACTGGCTGGCTTGTAAACACTGGCACACAGGGGCAGTTCAGGCCAAAACGGACACGTCTCGTACAAATCGCATGCCATACCGGGTTTTGTAACGGGAATCGAGGCAAATTTTTGGCGATATAATGCATCTGCTACCGGATTTATCGGATACCGATAGCATCGCGAACCGGAGGTCCACTGTATTTCTTTGTACAACTATGTATCGTGTCTAAATAAAAAATAAATAAATAATTAAATATGCTTTCACTGCCAGCACTCCAAATATTTTGATTTATTTTTTAACCCTTACAGGGTCCAAGGCCAAAATCTGAAGGGGTTCCCCAGTGTCCAAGAAATTTTGAAAAAAAAAATTCTTACAGAATTAAAGATAATATTTTTGTGAAGGTAATTTAAAAAAAAATTTTTATGATCAGTACTTACCGAGATACATGGCGGGAAGTTGACCCAAAATGACCAGGTGGTGGCAACATCAGCGACTTCCGCAAAATCGCATTTTTTTATTTTACGTTTTTTTATCCTTTTTCTTTTCTATTTTTTTCTTTTTCTAGTAACATTTGTGGTCTATGAGACCAATATAATGTTATGTTGTATAAGTGTTCACTCATTGTATTCAACACAATAACTGCACTAATTTGTTTATAATGCTTACAAAACTTGTTTACAAGTTTATTGTAAATAAAATGATAAAAATATTATGCAGTTATTGTGTTGAATACAATGGTCCATATAGTACTATGTGGTACAATGGTGCCATTTGGGTGCAGTTGGTACCATTTGGTACAGTGGTACCATATGGTACAAAGGACCATATGATATAATGGTACCATATGGTAGAATATGTTACAATGGCACCATTTGGTACAATCGTACCATATGATACATGGTGCCATATGATACAATGGTACCATATGGTGCAATGGTACCTTATGATACCATATGGTGCAATGGTACCATATGGTACATTGTACTATATTTGGTACTGTTGTATGCAACACAATAAACAACTAATATTTTCATCATTATTTCATTAACAATAATTGTTTACAACAAAAATATGCAAAAATGTTGTAAAATTAGTAATGTTCTATTACATGTATTATATACAAGTGTACAGCCCCTCGACATGTTCCTTGAGGTGGATGACAAAGCGCTTTGTCTTGGAAACTGCTGAGTTACTAGCTAGCTTGCGTCATCATCGTCTTACCCGGTGCCTGGTGGCATCAACATCTGTAACTGACCATATGGTAATGGTATCATATGTTACGGGGTACCATATGGTACATTGTACTATATAGTATAGGGTACCACATTACATAATACCATATGGTGCAGGATACTATATGGTGCGGGTTACCATATGGTGCAGGGTACCATATGGTGCAGGGTACCATATGGTACGGACACCCCTATGGTACAGATACAAGGATCCCTATGGAAATAAATCACCTGACTTTTTTTTGGGTATCCTAGGGTTTTATCATATGCTGCTATGTATGATAAATTTGTAACTGTATTTTTGTACACCTGATAAACTTACTCAAGCACATGTGGCATCATAAGTTTATTTAGGTATACACAAATAAAGTTACATAGATTATCATACATAGCAGCATATGTTTGGAGGACCTAGGATAACCAAAAAAAGTCAGGCTTATTTCCATTAGGGTCCCTGTGCCCTGTACCATATGGTACAATGTACCATATGGTATAATGTACCATATGATACAATGTACTATATGGTACCATTGTATAATATGGCACCATTGTACCATATGGTACCATTGTACCATATGGTACGATGGTACTATATGGTTCAAAACCATATAATTCCTCTTCAGATTCACTTCCATCAGTCTTAGAACTGTAAGTTGTGAAAAGGAGGGTCAGAATTCGCCAGGAGAGTGAGTGGGGAGTGAGAGCTTCCTTGCCGCCAGGCATGATGAACAAAGCACTTTGGCGGCGTTCCCACAGTGCCATGCAGGCGTCCAGATTTTTTCTGTAGTGCGCACACTGACCACCCAGACCCATTCTCTCAGATGTAGGCCTACCAGCCTTCTTGCGCTAAATTTGACGCCACTAGAATTTTGGCATAGATCTACGGTTTGAACCCTCAGCATAAAGCCGTAGATATATGGCATGGATCCTGAAAGGGTTAATTAAAGAGGACAGTTTTCTGTGTGTAATAAGACCCAAAAATAATTTTAGAGCCAGTACTTGCCTAGATATAAGACCATGAATTTGGTGCTGGATGCTCCCCTGACAGCAACACGGAGTCCTGCCGCTTGCAGAAGTGTTACCGATATTCCTTTTTTCTTCTTGTTTTTATTTTAATTTATATAATTTTTATGTTCTGATAATTACAATTTGTAGTAGTTCTTGTGATATCATAGCCAATCTTTGTTCTGACACTAATATTAGGTACTGAAATAGTCACAAACACACTGACAGGGTGAGCATTTTCATCTGCCTTGGTCACATACTATTGTCTAGATATACAGTAGGGCCCCACTTATACGGCAGGTTACGATCCAAGCTACCACTGCGAAGCAGATATCACCAGAAAGCATAACACCCTTTTTTCCATTTATTTAAAAACATATAAAAAGGGCCCGAAACACAAGTTATACTAACAATTATATTAAGTTACCAATAGAACTAGGCATTAAAAACAATAAAAAGTAAAATACACGACCATAATTCATTCCCAAACTCTGGTTGCGACCTGATTTGGTCGTGACCGGAACCTAATTTCTGCATTGGATTGTATGTAAATGCAATTAATACGTTCCAAACCCTTACGAACTGTATGTAAATGTTTTTTTTTTTAAATACAAAAATAGTTAATTATACCAAACTAAATATAAAAACCTTGAATAACACTGAGAAAACCTTGAACAACATTGAACTAAAATTGCACGAGTCCTAAGAGTTTAAAGGGGCATTTAATGGCTTAGCAGTGAACTCTGTTATTTATCGTCCGATTTCTTTAATTTTTGGTGTACGTTAAGAAGTATCTTTCCATCATACATTGCCCAAGTTTCTCTCATTGCCGGGTACTGGCACTGCGAGAAGCTGTTTCGACACTACATGCAGATAAAACATTGCTGATCTGAATTTATCACGGTCATAATTACAGGAAGTGGGGAAAATTGGCGTGTTAAAAAAATGGCATGGAATGTGAAAATTGGCACAGCTGTGTTTGTTTGGCACCTGATTATGTGTTCGTGACTGGATGCAAAAATTTGGTGAATTTTTTGGTTGTGTACCAATTTGTTCATGTTCGGAAGCGTTTGTGACCAGAGGTTCCACTGTATATCCATAAGAGTACAAAAAGTCTTTATGCATATTTGTTAGATGTGAATGTTGGAGGACATGGTTTCCTATTGTTGAATTATACTTAGAATAGGTTTATTGTTTTTTTTTTCTTTTGCATTTTTTTTTTAGGTGCAAACACCCAGACATCACATAACTGCTGTATATTTCAATTTTGGTCTGACATATGTTGTGAGCTGCTCATTTTTTTTAGCATTTTGCTATCTCTATATACATCTGAAGTTTATTTTTAAGTTTGCAGTGTAGGAGGAGCTGCTAATTTCCTCATGTATGGGATCTTGCAGTGGCACTCCCTCTCTCTCAAGCAGTTACCTAGTCTCTCAGTCTTTACCTTTGCATACTTTTATTATTATGCATCACCTGCAAAATTTTCTTAGTTACTCAAATATGTTAAAATGGGCATACTTAATTTTTATACTCCTGCTTGAAATGTATTTATTGTAGAATATTTGCTTTTTTTTTTGTTATATGTACAGTTGAATTTTAAAGTTGTCTTGTTTTTTATTATACCAATTATATACATAACTAAAATAAACATACATTTATTGACTAATTTGTTTGTTTATTTATTTATTTATGTTTTGTTTTATATCTTTTTTTGTGAATATGTGTTAAAATTATTAAATTATTTTTTGTAGACATAAACACACTGCACGTATTCATCGGCATATACCTGATGGAGATTTCCAGGCCATTACAACAGAGACGGGTAGGCGCTTTTACTTAAACAAAATAGAAGAGGAAGAATGGGACAATAAGATTGCCTCTCTGGCTGCTGTTCAAAAATCGACCCGTTTTCTCAATATACCATACTCTGTTCTCAGAGCTCAGGCAGAAAATGAGGTGAGAGATGCTAAAAAATAGATATTTTTTTCTTCATCAAACCGGCCATATCCCACTGAGGCAGGGTGACCTTAAAAGAAAAACAAGCCCCTTGCTCCTGGCATTTTAGTCGCCTCTTACGACATGCACAGCTTATAAAGGAAGGATTCTATTCCACTTTCCCATGGAGATAAGAGGAAATAAACAAGAAAAATAACTAATAAGACAATAGAAGAAAACCCAGAGGAGTGTACATTTATGTGTAGTGTGACCTAAGTGTAAGTAGAAGTAGCAAGATGTACTTGAAAAAAAAAAGGAAGATACTATAAATGTTCATATTTTCTAGATAGAAATGAATAAGAAAAAAAAATTATAGTAAACAAGGAAAAGATTCTCATTTACAGCAGTTTTGTACTGGTAAAATAGGAAGTATAATAGCTAGGTAACCCTTCAAAGGGGGTACCATGTTGTTGGTAAAAAAAAAAAACTTGATCCAAGGGATTAGAGCTTCCATCCCTTGAATTAAGCCTGATTGCCTTCATTTCCCAGACATTATAACCTATATAGGTTTAGTGCTGCCTTGTAGATATACCTGGAATAATGGGTATAACAATATGGCCAGGTAAAGCCTGTGAAAACATTGAATGTGAAATCAGTCTTATTATTTGTTAAAAATCTATCTTTGAATACATTAGCCAAAATTGGTTTCATATCTAGCAGTGATAAATTTTCTAATTAATCATACAGTAATAATAATAATGACAACAACTTTGTAATGCATACCATAATGATGATGATGATAAAGAGACATTAGAAAAATATAAATTCCTACTTTTTTATCACCATATAAAAAATTAACTAATATTCTGAAGATGTAAGTTTCATGCTCAATATTTGTATCATGGCAACAGTTTTCTTGCATTTAAAATTATGTTGCCTAGGTAATCACCTCATGTAGGAGATGATGGTATCTAGTTTATTAGGCAATTGTAAACTTACTAGTAGGTCATTGTTTAAAAAATATCTTGATTACTCTTTAGGAATGAATTTTTCAGGCACTGTATGTATTGAAGTAATTAGGTTTAGTGCTTTCCATGAGTGTAATACTGTAGAACCTTGGAAGTCATGAGGGTTAGGTTCCAGGAGACCTTATTTCTCATGTCTGTATTCAAATTTTCCTCTTCATTGTTTTACATGTGTTTTAACAATTTCCACATTTTGTGGTATACAGCAGTTTCTTAAAATATTGCTCTAATCTTCAAAGATGACATTCATAAGGAAGAATGACCAGATTTAGGTGTGGAAAATTAATTTTAAATGAAATTCTGTGGTTAGATTTCAATTTAAGGGTTGTGAGAAAAAAAATAATAATGGACATTAAATACTTAAAGTAATCATAGCTGTCTGCTAAAAGGACCTTCAGTAAGAAGTCATATAAATCACTCGGATTACAAATCTTGCAAATTTAGGGTTTCAGTTGCAAAATTGACATTTATTTCTCCTAATTTACAACTGAATTGTGACCTTTCTTTCATCTAGCAAATTCGGCAAGATGCCAAACGAGCTGCACTTTTGCAAGATGCTGAAGATTCTGGCTTAGAGTCTGGCATGGAAGAAGACAATGACTCAAACAGCGAGTTACTTTGGGTGGAGAAGTTCAAGCCGAGACATTATTTTGATTTACTCAGTGATGAGGTTGGTGTTGTACAAAGCAAAGTTTATTTTTTTTAAATATTGGTTTGAATACTGCAGTAACATAGGGGGAGGTTGGTGTTAAGACTTATCATCTCTGTCTTCTTCCTATTAATGATGAAGTGCCTTTCTGGCTCATGAAAGTAGGAAATAGCACTGATGCATTTTAGTAGTTTGAGTATTTTTTTTATTGGCTTTATTAAGTGACTCACAAGACCCCAGAGATAATTTTATACTCATAATTGTTACCAATCCCAAATAACTCTTAGATTTCCTAGTCATGCTAATATACATCATGTGTAGGGTAACTGAAATAATTAATTTTATACTGTGTTTATATATTCAGCATATGACTGTCATTTTTTTTTAATTCAGTTTTCAGTATATACTGTAGAATGTAACACTTCATGCTGGTTGCATTCTTGAAAATCATAAAACATGAAATTGCAATTTGCAAATAGAAGAACATAGGGAAAAAATAGGGATCTCCTGTTTTTTTCTAAATTTCCTAATTTGTGAAAGCAATAGTTTTTCATATATTACACTGTAGTTGTTGTGGCTTGTTTATCTGGAATGTGTGTGGAAAGATTTGTGACTGTTCAGTACCTGTGCAAATATGTAACAAGCAGTATTACCTACCACCATTATTACCTGTCATTAACACTGGTAAAATTAAGCCACATTGTACCAAATTGTACCAGTGGATGCTGTTGCTTGTTGATATGTGAATATGTGGAGAGGGTTGATGTTGCCCTATGCAGTGTCTGTATAAACATGTGACAGTCAGTATCAGGTACTGCTATCACCATTTTCTGTCAAAATTCATAAAAAATATGTCATATTTCCTTATCAAACTACATCAAAAATTACAGGAACTCACTGCACCTGCACCAAAAAAAAACATATACAGCCTCTCCTCACTTTGTGATGTACTTATTTACCCACAACTTGGACTTACGACGGGCTCTCTGACCCGTATTCATACCTAAATAATGTATATTAGAGCTGATTTCCTCTATTCTGTTTATTACAATATACAGTACACTACTGTATAAACATTTAAAAAAAATACCAGAAATGTTATAAATGGTGCAAAGGTGACATTTTAAAAAATATCAAAGATGGTTGACACAGACCACTACCCTTATAGTATGCTCCTCACTTGGCGACAAATTCTTGGTCTTAAGAACAGAACTCCATCGTTAAGTGAAGAGAGGCTGTACTAAGGATGAATGCATTTGAGAAAGTAATAATTAAAGAAAATGCAATACAGCCTCTCGTCACTTAACGATGGAGTTCCATTCCTAGGACCACATCAATAAACGAATTCGTCATTAAGCAAGCAACATACTATAATGCTAGTGGGTTTGTGTCAGCCATCTTCGATATTGTTTTAACCAGTAAACGGTCCAAGCGTATGTATACGTTTTTACCGCTAGTGCCCCAAACGTATATATTTTTTTTTTTTTTTCAACAAGTCGGCCGTCTCCCACCGAGGCAGGGTGACCCAAAAAAGGAAGAAAATCCCCAAAAAGAAAATACTTTCATCATCATTCAACACTTTCACCACACTCGCACATTATCACTGTTTTTGCAGAGGTGCTCAGAATACAACAGTCTAGAAGCATACACATATAAAGATACAAACTATCCTCCAAAAATGCCAATACCCAAAACCCCCTTTAAAG